AAAAAAAATACTTTTATTGATTTTAGAGAGGAAGGGAGAGCGAAAGAGATAGAAACATCAACGATGAGAGAGAACTATTGATTAGCTGCCTCCTGCATGCCCCCTTCTGGGGATAGAGCCTGCAACCCGGGCATGTGTCCTGACCAGAAATTGAACAACGACCTCCTGATTCCTAGGTCAACACTGAACCACTGAGCCACACCGGCCGGGCACAATTGCTCATTCTTAAACTACTTTATTAAATATCCATCTTTCTAAATTGTTAGAAGATCATAAACTTAAAAAAAGAAAAAGAAGGTGGAAGAAATTTTCTTGTAGGGAAGATGATTTTCATTCCTCGAATGAAAAGTCTGAATTCAGTCACGAGTGTCTGTGGAGACAGTAAAATATATGGGACAAGTGTGCAAATCAGAAAACATTAAGGGAGATGTGAATTTAGGAGACTTTATAGAGAATAATAGCTTAACTTATTAGAATAGAGGGAAGATGTAAGTATTATGAGAACAGAGTAAGAAATGGAAAACAGAACCTTTGGACAATTTCAGAGAGGGGCAAAGACAAGTGTCTTAGTTCATTCAGGCTGCCATAACACAAAACAACAGGAATTTATTTTCCACATTTCTGGAGGCTGAGAAATCCAAGATCAAGGCACCAGCAGATTCAGTGTCTGGTGAGAGCCTTCATAACCTAATCACCTCTCAAAGGCCCCATCTCCTAAAACCATCACCTTGAGGTTAGGATTTTTTTTTAAAATATATTTTATGATTTTTTACAGAGAGGAAGGGAGAGAGATAGAGAGTTAGAAACATCGATGAGAGAGAAACACCGATCAGCTGCCTCCTGCACATCTCCCACTGGGGATGTGCCCGCAACCCAGGTACATGCCCTTGACCGGAATCGAACCTGGGACCTTTCAGTCCGCAGGCCGACGCTCTATCCACTGAGCCAAACCGGTTTCGGCAGGATTTTAAAATATAATATTCAGGGGACACAAACATTTAGTCTATAGCAAGATGCTAAGAAACATATAAACACAGAGATCAGGTTACGGTGTGGGCATAGCATCCCACATGGGGTTGAATGTTAGGAAGGGAAATCACTATTTCCCTAATGCTCTAGTTAAAGATTATGCTCAACTCACAGATCTCTGTTTGGAACGAGGCCTGGAAGGTGGACTTTCATAGCAACGGAGGTGGGAGAAATAGGAAGAGGCATGGTGGCAATGAACAAAAGAGATGAGTTGACAGAAAAAAAAGTACTTGTCAAACAATAAAAACCTAAGATGTACATAAAATAAACAGGGACCAGATGGGATCAGATCTTAGGAGAAGAAAAGGGTGTATTTCCCTCTAAATTCCAGAGAGAAAGGTCTCCGGCGGCAAGAAGGATATGAGGAGCTGCTGTTTAGCATTCCTCACTCTCACATTGTGGCACCTTCTCTGACTGCCTAGCATATGCCTTCCCTGCCTAGCATATGCCTTCCCTGCCTAGCATATGCCTTTGCTGGTTCTCACCTGGACAGGTTCCACTGTGGGTTTTGTCTTCGATTGTCCAGGGTTCTTCCCCTCATTCCAGCTTGAAGAATGTGTTTGGTTTGCTGGCTTGATACCCTGTTCATAGGAAATGACAGAAGACCAGCACATGACATTGGGCTAGGACAGTGATGGCGACCCTTTTGAGCTCGGCGTGTCAGCATTTGGAAAAACTCTGGTGCCGTGTCACATATAGAAATTTTTTGATCTTTGCAACCATAGTAAAACAAAGATTTATATTTTTGATATTTATTTTATATATTTAAATGCCATTTAACAAAGAAAAATCAACCCAAAAAATGAGTTCGCGTGTCACCTCTGACAGGCGTGTCATAGGTTCACCATCACTGGGCTAGGATGTCAAGATGGGAAAATGCTACATTTGAAGGATTCTACAGTTTCACATCTGCAAAGTGGAGGCTCTTCTCTCAGGAGAGGGAACATGATATACTCTTGTCTGGAGCCAGAGAGGGGTCTGAGAATCTATCACTTGAGAGCACTACAGAGACTCTGAAGCAGCTAGGAGGGAAGGCCACTGACCGGGGACCCTCTGAGTGACACAGGGGAGCTGTCCTCACCCACTGACACCAGGTGGCTGTAGTTCTCAACATCACGTCCCTGTACAGGTCCTAATCGGGTCCAGAAGCTGCCATTCCTCCCAGGTGAAGTACAAAGTCACATCTTCAATTCCCGTATTAACACGGTCCTGTTTAATTGGAAGTGTTTCGCTTTTATTGACATACAGAAGGAATGTAAAGGAAGTCATTCTGCTTATTTTCACCATACAGGCTGCATCAGTACAAACAGTTTAAAAAGTAAAAAAAAAAAAAAATTTGTAGTAGAAGGAAAGTACTATTAGAATATTCTGCTATTATAATTCAGTCTTCAACAAATTAGATATTTCTAAAATGCACAGCCATTACATCCTCTAGCTAACCATCAATCATATATCTGTATATGTGCACCAATTGCCCAAACAGGATACATATGTGGGTGATATAAAGATTAATAAAACACAATATTACAATTAATTAAGGGCCTTCCCAGGCTTGGTGGATCAGAATGGTGGCAGAGACAACAGTTATTCAAATACAACATGTTCAATAAGTGGGTTTAAAATGTTGTAAGGAAGAAAATATTTTAATATGTCTAAAGAAAAGGAAACTAAAGAGACAATCAGGTGCATACACATGCATGTTAAAAGCACATTAGCCTGGCCAGCATGGCTCAGCGGTTGAGCGTCAACCTATAAACCAGGAAGTTACAGTTCGATGCCCAGTCAGGGCACGTGCCTGGGTTGCGGGCTCAATCCCCGGTGTGGAGCGTGCAGGAGGCAGCCAATCAATGATTCTCTCTCATCATTGATGTTTCTATCTCCTTCTCCCCCTCTCCCTTCTTTTCTGAAATCAATAAAAAATATATATATATTTTAAAAAGCACATTGGAGGCATTGAAAGGGATAATCAGTGAACTACAAATTATCCAAAATAGTTGGGGTTCATTACTAGTTCAAAGCTAGAGATTAGCATCAGCCCAGAGAAGAGGCATAAAGGGCAGCGTCCAGCTGTCCTCCCCAAGGGCGTCATGGGCCTTGTTCCTCTCTCGGTCGGCACAAGCGTGTGGCAGTAGGTGGGGAGTTCTGCCAACCAGGGAAGCCCACCTGAAACTGATGTCCAATCTTTATTGGGACTCAATCATGTGATCCCAATAGGACACCACTGTGCCTTAATCCCCAGCCCCTCCAATTTCCATGTGATACCATGTGATCCATAGCCCCCACCTTAAATCACATTGGGGGGTGTAGCTTTTACCTTTATCTTTTGATTTCAATCTCTTTCCTTTCTATGATAAATGTAACCTTGAGGACAGCAAGTTTGCTGAGAATCCTCCTCACATATTATCAACCCTGAGGGAATCTGCAATACAGTAGGGAACGTCTTTGTTTGCTAATATATACATAATGTATAAATATTAAGTATATGCATATATGTTGCCCTTTACTTTTTAAAAAATTACCTATTTCATTCATGGATACATTTTAAAGATAAGATTCCAATGATGATTATTATTATATGTATCTCATATATATGGTAAGAGTCAAATGATTACATATATACATATATTTAAATGAATAACTGATTATGAACTAATTCTCTAGGCCCTTTTCCTCCCCCAGAGTATAGCGGATGAGGTTGAAAGTTCCAAACTTCTGCCTGGCGGGGCTCAGTGGTTGAGTGTTGACCTGTGAACCAGGAGGTCACGGTTCGATTCCGGTCAGGGCACATGCCTGGATTTCAGGCTCGGTCCCCAGTGTGGGGTGTGCAGGAGGCAGCCAATCAGTGATTCTCTCCCATCATTGATGTTTCTCTCTCTTTCTCCCTCTCCCTTCCTCTCTGAAATCAATAAAGATATATTTTTTAAAAAGTTCTAAGCTTCTAATTATAGCTTGGTCTTTCTTGTAACCAGCCCCCATCAAGGAATCACCTTATTAGAACAAAAGCAGCTCTATCTCCCCCATCATTCAGGAAGTAAAACTATACATATATAGTACTATATATG